ACTTGTATCGTGAGCCCAAACGTCACACGCGATCTTGATTGCGTTCTGCTTGCTGATGTTGGAGCTGACGTCAGTCCAACAGTGGTCAGCGATTTGGTTTCGGATGGCTTGTTTGAAAGGTCGGAAAACAGTCACATCCAGGGGCTGGAATAGATGGGTCGCGTTGGCTGGTAAGAATTGCAGCAAAATCCCCAATGACGTGGCAACGTCGTAAATGTACTTGGAGTAGTGTGACGAGCACCCGTCAACAATCAACAAAACTGGCCGCGCGACAGACGATGGGATACTCCGCGCTGAGCATGGACATCCACTTACGGCAAATGAACGAGTTTGTCCATCCTTTCTCCGACGTCGTAATGGCGGCTCCAGGAATCGTCAGACTGTCGCACGTTTCGGTAGACACCCGGTCTCCAGGGAGGACGAACAGGGGAGGGATCTTGGTTCCCGCGGCAGACACGCACGCCACGATAGTCACATGCGCCGACGCCGTTGCTTCTTCGACGAAAACATCTTTCGATGCGCGTTGGACAACGACCTTTCTTGATGATTTCGTCGGTGAGAAGCTTGTCTCGTCCATATTGAAGACACGTGATGGATCCATGTCAACCAGCGAAATCGATTGCGACAGCTCCCGGTAGAAAGCCTCAACTGCCGACTTGTCTACCGCATTTCGCGGCTTGCTAAGGGTCTGGGCTTTCAGGGTCTTCAAATCAGGGTGTCGTTGGAGGAATCGTTTGTACCATCCGCTTGTTAGGTTCGTTCCGATGGTTGTATCATGCACGACATCAAGAATGTTGTTTGCTTTCTGTACGATTTCACGATAGCCGACAGGCTTCCCATCGCGCTCCATGCCGACAATCCAAGTAGCCAGATCTTCTTCGTACTGCCGCGGTAGGATAGGTGCTCGACCGAACGATGTTGGTATTTCGATGAAGCCGCGGTGAGCTTTTGCCAAATGCTTCCGAAGCGTCCGCGATGGAATGCCATAGGCCTGGGCAGCAGTTGATGCCGTGTGTACTTTGCTTAACACATCGTGGACGGCCTTGTCCATGGTGACCTGCGTGTATGGCGTTCTTGGCGGCATTTCGTCGGTTCAAAATTTGAAAGAACCTTTAATATGTAATATTATTTCCCTCCATTTATTCATGCAGGTTAAATTTGTCGAGAGGTTGCCTTTTGTCCAATCAGAGTTGATTGGCGTTTTAATTGGATGAAATAAGTTGGTCCATCAATGGTCGTTCGGCCCATCAATGGTCGGACACGTTACCGTACTCCGGCGGGACTTGTACCCCCGATTTTTACCATCGGAGTTGTACCTATTTCTCTCTTCAAGTCCTGTTGGGAAGATTCTGGGCTTTGCTCATGGAGTTGTACCTATATATCGGCTATTGGTTGCTAATCATCAAATTAACTGTACACAATCACGTTTCATTTTCGGCAGATGTATCCGATGCTGTCGATATTGTTGGTGTCTCGAGTGGTGAGGACACGCGCTCGTGCACCTGCCATGAAATATGCGGCGATAGCGTGACTGTCGACGATCTCATTGTGTTTCGACTTGCTGTACAAGGTGACCGTGAAAACCTCGATGAGGTTATGAAGGTTTATCGTCTGGTGGCCACCAAGCAAGGCTGCCATGTTGGCTACCTCCCCCTGCGTCTGCTCAAGCGCAAAGACGTGCTAAAGAACAAGACGTGCTAAAGAACAAGACGTGCTAAAGAACAAGGTTGCATTGGTTGTGGAGAACCTGCGTGTGTCATCCAGTCGAGCGCAGCGTGTGCGTTCAGAACGAAATGTCGGCATAGTTAAGGCAGTTCTGTTCGAACACATTCAAGAGTACCATACAAACATCGGAAGTTAGTGCAGATAAGTGTTGCATCTAAGCTACAATGCCAAATCCGCATTTGCGCCATGCATTGCAAATTGTTTCCGAAGTGATTTCTGACCACACGTGGTCAATCCAGCGCAAAATTAATTCACGACAGATACACAATATTTGATTGATAGTCTACGCATGCGTTAACAGAAATCCAAAAGTCGCAATAGAGGGGGAGGAGGCATGCTCCGTTGGTTGAGACTGCACCCGCTCGCTCGTGTACGGTGCCCACATCACAGGCACTGGGATGTGGGCACCATACACGAACTAGCGGGTGCAGTGCTGGAGCAACGCATGCAGGCGCTGGTTCCATGCGACCTGGTCGTCCTTGCATCTGTTCAGGCGCCAACATTCAGTGTGCTTCCTACAAGAATCTCAATAAGGGTACCGGTAACATCGTTGGTCGGCGAGGTTGGCTCATGCCGAAGGACGACTGCCGCCATGGCCAATGCTGACAGTCATCCTTCACCATACAAGCGTCACATGCAGTCGCGTCGATGAGTTACACAAGATAGGACTCATGGGCTCACTCTAACTTAGCGTTGAGCGGCGCTTTGCGCTATGTGGGGCCGCGAGGACACACACCTGTACTTGGCCGACATGGCGTCATGCCATTGCAACCAGGTAATACTAAACGTGTTGGGAATTGTATGCACATGAAAATGTATTGCTGATTGTATGCTGGCCAGAACTCTAACCAATCGGTCAAATCTGACGAATAATCTGACTTTAGCGCGCCGGATAGCGTCGACGCTAGAATTTATACAGGTCGAAGGTATCCAGGGTATCGGGATTAGGGTTATTTCAAAATATTATATTTGAGAGTATTCATATAAATGCTTTCCCGTATAAATGTCAAAATTAATACTATTAAAAGATATAGGTTATTATTTGTAAATGTGATATTTGCCTCATTTCCGTCATGTTTTGTGACGTATCTCACAAGATATTCATTTCTACACCTGACATCTAAAGAACGTTTTTGATATGGCGTTTACTGTTGTTAGTTTTGAACACACAAAAGGTTTCACTAAAAAAGGCCATCTGGACCTTGAGAAATGCATAAATATTCCCTCGATGCCGCGGAATCTCCACGATGACGCGGACTGCCGCCACGTGCTGGACTACCTCACGACCACCCGAGGACTCGACCCTGATGTGTTGTCGAAATACTGCGTCGATGCGATCCAGCAGCCATTCTACGGCAAGGACGGCGAGTCCGAGACCAAATGGTGCGCTACGTTTCCGTGGATGGCGCGGAAGGTGGACATTGCCGCGATGGGGGCCGAGTTGGCCACCCCCGACGACCCGGCTTCTTCGTCAGGGGTCGACGCCAACCTCTTCAACGTCGTGCGGCTCAAAGTCCGCGCCATCGACGACAAGTCCAAGCAGCGCCTCGTGCCCAAAGGCGGCAGCTGGGGGCTCTTTGGCTGGAATACGACCACTGTTAGAGTCCCGCGGTGGGAGAATTAAAAGCTAAAATCTGACTGAAAAAATACAGTTTTGGAGTTTTAGCGCCACGAGTGGGGATGCTCTTAGGACGAGTTTATGTTGTATTGTAATTGCAATTTGCACGACCGCCATCGTACAGATACTGATTGGTCAAAATATTAAATTCCTTGGATATGATTGGCCAATTGATTTCATGTGATCGACCAATACATTGTCCAGAGAGCCTCGCCATGCTTACGAGTGCCAAGTCAAGGTGCATATCGCGGCCAGTACACCTAAGTGTATATACTGTTTGTAGAAGCCATGTATCGAAGTCGATACCGCATATCTCTTCTGCGCTTACATAGAGCCTCCATTCTACGAATCATTACGGCCCTATACTGCGTTTCTGTCTTTCGCACAAGGCCGCTTGCTTTCACGTAAAAGATGTAATCTTTCTCAAACTCCTACCGGTACAGTTTGCTCACCCTTGTGTGGCCATATATCAGTAAATTAACGTTAGCGTGCATTGCGAGCTGCACGGTTAATGTCCACGATAGTGTTGTCGAACGAGTTTTCAACATCCACCTTTTATGTAGTAAGTATGTCACGAGTGTTGAGAGCATTCAGTTGTAGAGTCAGCCTTCAAATCGAGTTATCGTCCACAACAACCAAGTGAGGACGGAACGGAGGATAAAGAGCAAGTAGAAATGCAAAGTGTATCAAAAGTGACATATTTTGGATGTCTAGTTTGCCGCGAATGCATGTACGGTACTGGCCCCACCTCTGAGTACATCACTCAGCGGTGGGGCCAGGCAAAGAATGAGTGAATTTGGACCAGTATTGGCCGAGATTGAGGTGGTCATGGCTGTTCGGATAATTGACGCCTGTCATGTAGCGCATCCGAGAGATGACGAGGCCACGAATGCATGTACGGTACTGGTCCCACCTCTGAGTACGTCGAAGAATGAGTGAATTTGGACCAGTATTGGCCGAGATAGAGGTGGTCATGGCTGTTGGGATAATTGACGCCTATCATGTAGCGCGTCCGAGACATAACAAGGCGACGAATGCATGTACGGTACTGGCCCCACCTCTGAGTACATCACTCAGCGGTGGGGCCAGGCAAAGAATGAGTGAATTTGGACCAGTATTGGCCGAGATTGAGGTGGTCATGGCTGTTCGGATAATTGACGCCTGTCATGTAGCGCATCCGAGAGATGACGAGGCCACGAATGCATGTACGGTACTGGTCCCACCTCTGAGTACGTCGAAGAATGAGTGAATTTGGACCAGTATTGGCCGAGATAGAGGTGGTCATGGCTGTTGGGATAATTGACGCCTATCATGTAGCGCGTCCGAGACATAACAAGGCGACGAATGCATGTACGGTACTGGCCCCACCTCTGAGTACATCACTCAGCGGTGGGGCCAGGCAAAGAATGAGTGAATT